TTTTTTTTTCGGAAATTAAAAAATTCAAAAATTCGGAAATTCGAAAATTTGAAAATTTGAAAAGAAAAAAAATTCGAAAAAAAAAATTTGAAAAAAAATAAATTGCCTAGGCCTCATCTTCTTTGGGCCTAACAACTTTCATAACAAATATATATGAAGAAGGAGTTTTGGGCTACCACTTAGAAAGGAAATGCCTCATTCGTCAACTCCCTCGACCGGAGACTTGGGGGACTCCTACCATATGCTACTGCACCTTGATACTCGGAAGTCTCACGACCACTCAGTGACTTGGATTTTTCAAGTCTCCAAACGAGAAGTTTTCCTCACTCGGGAAATTAAGGGAGCACTACCTCAACCTACGTGCTTCACTCATAAAGCTTCAACATACAAGCTTCAACAAAAGGAAAAATTCAAAGAACTTAGTGAAGAAGGCCTTGGTGTATTTAACACAATACGTTGAAATGAAGCAAAGCTTGTTTATTGATATCTCCGATAAGTTACAAATATGTACATATACATGAATCAAAATAAATAAACAAGAGGGAGCCTTCACAAAGGTTGCTCAGGAGAAGTCTCAGCAGTCGGCATAACCCCAGAAATAGGAGGCACCAGAAGGTGATTATTCGGAGCCTCAGTACTAGGCAGAACCCCAGACGGAGGAGGCACCGAAGGTTGATAATTTGGAGCTTCATTAAGCGGTATAGCCCCAGAAGACGAAGGCAATAAATGCCTTTGGAACAAACCCACAAACCTCTGATGATCAAGTAAAATTTGACCATCAGATTCCTGCAGCTGGTTGAGCTTCCTCTTCATGTTTGTAGCATAGTCATGTGCGAGCATGTGCAACTGTTTATTCTCATGCTTGAGCCCTCTTATCTTCTGTTTGAGACTTATCACTTCAGTCGCCAATGATTCAACTTGGCGGGTTCGAGCAAATAGACGTTGAGCCATATTAGACACAGAACCTGCATACTGAACATTGAGAGCCAGAGAATCCTTAACAGCCAACTCATCATACCGTTTGGAAAGTAGTCTGTTATCTTTGGGAGTGTGAAGGTTCCTGGCCACCAGCGCAGTGGTCATATCATTCTTCATCACAAAATCCCCAACGGTAAGAGGACCAGTAGGGGATAAGAAGGATGGGCGCCATATGTTGTCTTGAGAAGGCATGGCTGCCTCTTCACCAAAGTTCAAGTCAAAACGACGGTCGAATGGGCCAGACATTCTCAGAAATATGAAGGAGAAATGAGGTGCAATAAATCTCTGAAGTAAGGGGAAAATTCCTACAAGCAATAATTCTCTGAATGTATTTCTTGCACACAATTGGTGCCTTTATAAAAGAAAGGGCAACAGGGCCGTTGGTTCAAAAATCGAAGAGGCACCACTTTCCGGATTTCGAAGAGGCACCACTTTCCACACGCAACATCAGCTCCTCGGATACCACAGATAACTTTGCCAAAGATCTCTGACAAAGTTTAGACACATAAATTTTAAAGGTCCAGCTACCCTACTATTACCCACAAGGGTAAAGGAACAACACCTCTGCTTGATAACTAGAAAGTCCTAATGTGTGTCAACCTCCATGCTCCGTGGCAAGGCAGACTGGCAAAAATGCCCAACCTTTACTCACATTCGAGAAAACACTCCCAACAAGATTGCTTGCTCAAAAATCGAAGAGGAACCACTATCCAAATCTCGAGAGCCAAACTCCCAATATGATTACTTTCTCAAAAATTGAAGAGACACTGCTCTCCGAATCTCAAGAGTCAGACTTCCAACATGATTGCTTTATCAAAAATCGAAGAGGCACCGTTCTCTGAATCTCGAGAGCCAGATCCCTGACATGATTGCTTGTTCGAAAACCGAAGAGGCACCGCTCTCCAAACTTTGAGAACCAGATTTCCTTGGATAAAGCTTGTCTGCAATTTTCACACGCAACATCAGCTTTTCAGATACCACAGACCACTTTTTCAAAGCGCTTTGAAGCCAGATCTCCGACAAGATTGCTTGTTCGAAAATCGAAGAGGCATCGCTCTCCGAACTTCGAGAGCCAGATTTCCTTGGATAAAGCTTGTCTGCAATCTTCACACGCAACATCAGCTTTCCAGATACCATATACGACTTTTTCAAAGTGCTCTAACAAAGTTAAAACACGTGAAGCTTGCAGCTCCCACTACATTGCTACGACCAAGAAGGGTAAAGGAATATCATTACTACTTGTTGTTAGGGAGACTCCTATATATGTCGACCTCCATCCTCCACGGACAGGCAGACCTGCAAAAATGCTCAACCCTTCCTCATATCTGAGAGGGCACTCCCAACGAAGTCTCTCAAAATACTCAGCTTCTTTTCCTCTCAATAATACCTCTGCAAACAAGCCACACCAGAGCAAGAGTATCTCATATCATCAGGGTTAAAAGCAAGAGTATCCCATATCATGCTTTTTCCCTGTCTTTTCCTTTGGCCTTATTCTTACTTGCAAGACAAAGAGAAAGAGAGCAATCAGTCAGCACTTGGAATCAAGCTTCCAGTCAGGAACTAACTTCCTGGAACCCCTTGCCTGATTACTTACCTGACATTGCTCTCGAGTACTCATCTTCAACATCTTATGCTTCCAGAGAAGATACCACATCTGCCTGAGGAACAGATAGGGCAAGTGAGAAGGATACAAGGAAGCATGTGGAGACAAGCATAACAGAACACGTGCCGATACATTCACTACTTTGTCAACAGCAAAAGTATCCCATATCATCAGGGTCGAACGTACTCTAGATTTGATGGACTTGTTTTGACCCTCAAATTCTTAAGTCGGCCTTATACTCTGGAGGAAACCAGAAAACCCTCCAACCCAGTTCAAGAATAAGCCTGTGGAAAGTTACTTCTTCAAAAGCAAAAGTTTCTCATATCATATCTTCTCCATTTGCTTCTCCTTATCCTTGGTGCTATTTACGACACAAGGAGAAGGAGAACAACCAACCGGAAGCTGAAGTCGAACCTCCGATCCAGGTTGCTTGCTTGGAAGTGTGATTGCTTACCTTATTTGTTACCTCTTTCGGAAAATCTCCTAGCTCGGCGACTTGGGGGACTCCTACTATAAGGTTTTGTATCGCACTTGACCAAGCCTAAAACTACAAGTAAGCTTCAAGTGAAATTGATACATTACCTTGTGCATCTTCATCAGTTAAAGATACCACCCCTGGATGGAGGAAAAGTACTTCCAGAGAAGATGCCACATCTACGTATGAGACAGATAAGGCAAGTGAAAATGATACCACACTTCGGTACTTAGAAGTTTCATGATTACTCAATGGCTTGGATCTTGCAAGTTCCCAACCGAGGAGCTTCCCTCACTTGGGAACTTAGGGGAGCACTGTTTGTACCATACTTGACCAATCCCGAAACTACTGAGCACCGGTCAATGTTATACCGTCAAGGACCCAGAAGAATTTCCCTCTAACTAGGAGGCCAATCACAGCGTGACATGTGTCGACATCAGAAGCCAATCATAGCGCGACACGTGTCAACATCAGAAGCCAATCACAACACGACACGTGTCAATGTCAGAATGAAACTAGAAACTCTCTTCTATAAATAGAGATCATTCTCTCACAATATTTCCAAATGTCATTTGTACTAAATCATTCACTAGTACTCACTAAAGGAGAGCTTGAACCTATGTACTTGTGTAAACCCTTCATAATTAATGAGAACTCATCTACTCCGTGGACGTAGCCAATCTGGGTGAACCACGTACATCTTGTGTTTGCTTCCATGTCCCTATCCATTTACATACTTATCCACACTAGTGACCGGAGCAATCTAGCGAAGGTCACAAACTTAACACTTTCTGTTGTACCAAAGTCCTCACTGATTTTGTGCATCAACATCCTTTATTTTGTCCTTATCGTTAAAACAAAAATTTTTCAAACCCTTTTCATTAGTTTTCCTTTTATTTATTTATTTATTTTTTTTATGAGAAGCGATATCAATTTTTCATTCAACAACAAGAATAGTTACAAGGTTGTCATATGGATACATTCTTCAGTGACTAATTCGTTGATCTGAAAATAATCCGCACAAACAAGCATTAACAGTAAACCCCTAAATAATTACCACAAGTACATGCACACTAGCACAAGCATCACCGGTGCATATCTACTACAAAGACGGTAGACACAACAGACCTATACCAGAGCACACGTAAAGTTTGCTACAAATTTTTAGGCTCCGCTTGGTATAGAGGATTGGAATTTATAACCTCTAAATTCATGGCATATTTAAGGTAGCAGAGAATAATTTTGATAAAACGCCAACATTACCAATATTGTCCCCAACTTAACCATGTATTACTAGGCGTGAAGTTTTATCATAAACTAGGGGTGAAATATTTCATATATAAGTTGTATATTATTTTGTTATAGTTTCAAATGTGGGACTTTATTCTCCATAAATTTTTCATTTTGATGGGACCATAAGAGAATTAGACATGAAGAAAACTTCTCCTTTCTAATATTATCATTAAGAAATGAATGAATTTGATAAGTTTTCTTCTTAAGTAATCCATCACCTACCTCAAGTTAATCACAAAATTTTCATTTTTTCCTTCAAACATACCTTCATCCTAGTATTTATACATGCAAATTTCCAATCCTATCCTTTATACCAAACAAGGCCTAAGAGTTTTGCCCCTTTTAACGTGAGAAAAGACTTAATTAACTAACCATATAGTTTTAATTGTATTCAAACTTTTTACCTAGTTCCCATTGCTTGACACGCCCTTGAGAACAAGTCGAGCCCATCTCGACACCCCTCCAATAACTTATGACAGTAAATAAATATATTACTTGTGACAAGAGAGATGGCTTGGCGAGCACTCAAGGTGGGCTTTAGGCGTATCCTCTGAGACCCCCTTAGCAATGAGAAGTAGGCAGAAAAAAGTGTCTTTGGGTGAATGTCCTCGAGAAAACTTATAACAGTCACCTTGAAAGAAAATCGAAAACTAAAACAAATAGGAATGTAGATTTTCAAGTTTCAAGTACATTAATCTTGTATTAAAACAAATGCTACTTATCCACAATGTTCTGTACTAATTAATCAACTCCACATACACAAATGCACCCAAATAAGTTTTGCAATACATGTCCCCAGTGAACCAGAGAGGTTGATTTCTGGCACTGGAAAAATCTATTAAATGCTTAGATACTAAATACTGTATTAACTATTTAGAGGGGACACAAACCCTGAAACTTGATTTACAACTGAGAAACACCATCAAATCCATTAGCGTGCCCATTTTTCTTTAAGCCATCACCATTATTTCCTTCAATGTGGTAGTCATCGTCATCCATAAACCTCTTCCACAACCAATGTTGCTTCCACACCCTCTCTGTCATCTCTTCAATCGGAATGTTCTTCGTCTCCGGGAGTAGGAACAACACGAAGAAAGACATGATCAAGACCCACCCGGAGAAGAAGAGGAAGATGCCGTACTTGAAGTGGCAGAGCATCGAGAGGAAGCCCTGCGCTATAATGAAAGTAAAGAGCAAGTTGGTGCAGACAGTCACACTTTGCCCCGCTGAGCGAGTCTCGAGTGGGAATGTCTCACTTGGTATCAACCAACCTAGAGGCCCCCAAGACCAAGCAAACGCAGCAACGTAAGTGCAAATCAGAACCACCACAAAGATTGCGAAGCCTTTGTGGAGGTCATCGGAGTGGTCCTTAACCTTGATCCCTAGTATTATGGCAATAGCCACTTGAGAGATGAACATTTGAAAACCAGCTTGAAGTAAGAGCATGCGGCGGCCTACTTTGTCAACTGAGTAGATGGATACAACGGTGGAGAGAACATTGACGGCTCCTGTGATAACAGCTGAGTAGAGGGAAGCATCGTTTCCAAACCCTAAAGTGTCGAACAGGACTGGCGCGTAAAACATTATGGCATTGATCCCAGTAAATTGTTGAAAGATCTGTAGAAAAAATCAGAAAAAGAACACCATAAGCATACTAGTACTAATTGTAAATATAATATTTGGCATACTACAAAAAAAGCGTTGTTTCGATTGCTAACCTGCAAGGCTACTGCAATGATTAGTTGGGGACGATTCCTGCGCTTTATGAGATTTCTAAAGGGGTGCTTCACTTCTTTTGCTATGCGACTTGCCTCGACAAGATCCAAGAACTCTGGTTCAACATTTTCTGTGCCGCGGATCCTTTTAAGTACGGATTTTCCTTGGTCTAAGAGACCACGTTCTACGAGACTGTTAGGAGTTTCGACCACCAAGAGAGCTCCCACGGTTAGGAGACCGGCAGGTAAAGCAGCCAGCCCCAATGACACCCTCCAACCCCATCCTCCTGTGATCCTGTTATTCAAGCAATTCATCAACGGTCAGCAAATACAGCCAGAAAATTGTTAGGAGGCTAGCACAAAACGTTATTTTACTAAATTAAGCAGACAAAGCAAACCATTAACTAGACAGTTCAAGCCACGTTAGTAGATTTTTTTTGTAACATCAGTGTGCATCCTATGAGATTGATATGAATTTGTAACCGAAAAAGAAGAGATTGGTGGATTCATCATTTGTAGTGAAATAAATATATAATAAATTAATTTCTACTCTTTTGCACCTTCTACACTTTTATTTATTTCTGATCCATAATTCTCCTTCAATTTATTTAGTCTCAAATTAAAATTAAACATGACTGCTTAGGAGAAAAAAAAAAATATGCGAAAATCAAATTCCTTTTATCATGTTAAACTTAATTACCTTTCAATTTCTACCTTATGAATGTTCCTATGTCTCCTCAAGACATCATAAGTTTGAAACTGAGCCATGTGAATATGAATAAAAAAAGGCAATCAAGATGAAACAATTTGGAAGCTGAGAAGCTGATCCACGTCTATTGTTCAAATTCATTGTTTAATAGAATAAACCATCCCTCAAATAGGCATATGCTTATCTATCAATAGTTTTACCAGTCAATTAATTTATCAGTCACATATGATGGCCCAAATTGTTGACTTTGAGTGCTCGAAGCTAAATACTAAATTGTAAAACAGTCCTTTGGAAATATGCCACAGAAAATTCATAAACCCTGAAAAATGCGAAAGAATCATAAACATCAAGCATACAAGAGATTTTTCAATGTGTCCGAAAAATCTCTTTATGCATACATGTTATGCATACATGTAACTTAAGGGGTACGGGTAATGTTAAGGGTGGACCAGAAAAAAAAAAGAACAAATTGGGAGCAGCTGACTTACTTGTTGGTGCCATAATTAACGAGGTTTGCAAATAGAATGCCTATTGTGATATTAAGCTGGAACAATATGTTTAGCCCTCCGCGGATTCTTGTCGGTGCAATCTCCGAAAGAAACAATGGTACAGCCTGCAAAATAACATCAAGGTTAAGTTAAAGAATGTTGAACAAGAGAAACAGAAGTATATTTTCAGTAATTTATTTAGATAAAAACTTATTTGCAGCTAGACAATGTACACCAACATAGTTGTTCTCTATTTTGTCAATCAATAGTAAAGTTATTTAGTTGTGTTGACATAACAATTGAAACAAGGAGATGGCTTAGTCTTTTTTTGCATAGAGTAGGACCAAAAATAATACATAGTTTATAATCATCTCAAAGTATTTAGTTTCTTAAGTCAAGTTTTGAGATACATTGATATTGTGGGTGAGAATTGGTAAAGTCACGAACCAGATTAATAATGTATTATCACTCATTATCTAAAATATTAAAACTTAAAACTTCATATTAACAAGTAGAAATACATACCACAAAAGTACTGTAAAGTTAATCAAATCTTAAATCGAAGTTTGAACATAGAACTTTTTATCATATGCATTGTGCTTTAAAAGGTACATTTTTATATCCTTTTGGACCAACCTTTTGACCCAAGAGCTTGAAATTAAGGTCCTAGTAACTACCAAAGGATAAGATAAACAATTCGGACATGCACACCACATAATAATCATGTACAAGTTTTGAATAACATTGGAGTTCCACGGCTTCACATTATTTCACAAACCAACATACAAAAAAGATTCACGACTTTTTTGGAAAGAAAAAAAAAATTCGAAAAGCGACTAGAAGAAGTTGCAAAGAAATTGGGGTGAGGATCCAGTGGCCTCATCTGTTAGCAAAGAGAGGTCTCACCACATGTAGAAACGTCAAAACACAACAATATATTTAAGACTTTTTAATTAAAATGGTCTTTGAGATTTGAAATCAATAGAAATGGTTCCTGAGATTGTCCATCATCAATTATTTTGGTCATTCCGTGCAAAATTATGTTAAATAAGAATCAAAATGATAAATATACCCTCAATTTAATAAACTATAGACCAAAATGATTTGACAAAAAACCTAAGGGTATTTTGATTATTTTATTCTTATTTAATGGAGATTTTTCACAGAATGACCAAAATGATTGATGGTGGATAAACTCAATGATCAAAGCCTATATTTTAACTAAAAAGCCTAGATTTAAAGCACAAAAGAGTTGGAAAAAACTGGATAATTATGACTTTACGAGAAAACGACTTAAAACAAACAAAAAGAAGCTTCAAATTATTTAGACGCACAAAATATATACAGCCTCTAATACAATTAAGTAAAGTTTACTGCAAAGAAAAGTTAACTTTATTACAAAAAAAGAAAAAAGAAAAAGAAGAAACTCGTGGACTCTAAATTGATCATAGGCATAACCTCTCTTCCAATCCAAGCGTTTAGAGACCAAAAGTGCCCCACAGGACGTCGGTGCATGACATTTTTTATAAGGCAACAAAAGAATATTATGATATGAGATATTTTGATAAAAGTAAATGAATTGAACAATTCATCTGTTGTGATTCATAAGTAACAAGATGTGGTGTCCAAGTCACTAGTCCGCACACCTATAAAATTGTTATGATCATACTTCAAAATGATAGTAATTGGGATGGGACCCAAATACGCTTTGGTGTCGGTATTGCGAGAGAAAGCGCCAAAGAACGCGTTTTAGTTTACACCACTCTTATCTCCCGCAGAAAGTATGAACCCTACAAAAGTTTAATTATATTTTGACATATTCGGTAACATTATAATCGTGGAGAATCTAGTTTTGGACATAAATATGTTAGCTAGATTAGTATGTTGTATTTTTTTCACTCTTCTTTATTTAGATAAATTTAATGTAAATAATCGCTTGAATGAAAAAGCAACACATAATCCTACGTTTTTTAACAAGGACTATTCTATGATATCCTAATGATATCCAAATTTACGATACTAGAACGCATGCACACTGCCCAAGTTAAACTGGCCCAGCTCGGTCCGCAACAAGTTATTATGTAAAAGAGCATGAAATAAAAAAGAAGAAATTAGAATTGAACTGACCTGATTTGCGAACCCAACTCCACAACCAAGTGAGATCCTGCCAATGATGAGCATAGCGAGGTCTTGTGCTGCAGCATTGAGAATTGTGCCGACAATGAAGAAAATCCCAGCAATCAGCATAGACGGCCTCCGCCCGAACTTCCTGGTGGTGTAGGAAGCGGCGAATGTGGCAGTTAAGCCGGCCAGGTACAGCGACGACGTGAATAACTGCAGGCCCTGGTTGTCGTATTTGCAGTAGTTGCTTTTGATCCCCTGTTCTAGAGTCCTCCTGTATACAACCGGGAAAAACTTTTTCAAGAATGGGGGCATCGATGTAACTCCACCTGCATCAAATTAAATTAAGTTCACCATTAGTTCAAATTTTTGTTTTTATTTTTTAATATTTTTTTTTTTGGGTAGGTAGTAGAAACTCCTCCTTATGCTAAAAAAATGAATCAAAATTTCGCTTTTAAATTATTTTTCCTAAAATTCAAGTAGAAAGTAACCACTTTCTCATTTGTCCGTAAAATTCGTAAACAAATAAATAATTCCAAAATCATATGAAATTTGATAAATTTTTGGATAGCAAATGACGCTTTACTTCCGTGACAAAAAACAAAGATGCCTATATACCTTGATACAGTTTAATTTTTCTGTTTCCTAAAAACTAACAATTTAAATCCACGGAGGCTATCATTTATTAAAAAAAAATTGGGGTAAGTTTTAGATTTTAAAAAGGGAAAAAGTTCATTTAAATAGAAACTTTCTTCTGTGTTTTCAAAAGCATTGACTAAAGAACATTTGTTTACTAAGAGAAAGAAACAAACATGGATAATTAAATAAATTAATTAAGTAGAATATCAACATTGAACATGTTGATTGAGGAATTTTCTGGCATACTCCAAAGTATCTTGTATTCCGGAATTTTAGCCGTTGGATCATGGTGAAATAAACAATGACCAAGATCTAATGGATGAAACCTTCGGAATATAGAATCTTTCATTGAAGCATCTAAAAGGTTTTCCCAGAACCCTAACCAAACAATGCCCACAGAGTTCATCTAGCGGAGCAGCTGAACCAACAAATCTAAGGCTCTAACAGTACGAAGCTCAAATAGTGTACGTCTGTGTGAGTAGAGAGAGACGATTACCTGAAACACCGACATCGTAACCAAACATGAGTCCACCAGTAGCAGCCATTATACACGAGATGATGACGATGGGCGTGATCTTTGCCTCGAACTCACGCCCGTCCGGACCCGCCGAGAACCCTCCGCCGGCCATGAGCGATATCGAACAACACTTAATTCTAGTTCCTCACAATTTCTCAAAGCAACAAGAAGGAGAGACGTTAGGTGGTAATGGGAATTGAATTTTTGAGTAGCGAGAGGGTGTTTATATAGAGGAGGCGGCATGGACGTAGCACGAGATTAGAATTCGATCGTGTAGTGGGAACCACCGTTGAGATTTTGAGATTTTGAGATTTTTCCACGTGTGCTTCAGTTTTGAAATGGACGGGTGGCCTTTACTGTTTTCTCACAGACGGCTGGCTCTGCTCTCTGGAAAAGTCTGTGGTCAACACAGACAATATTTTGTAATAAGTAGTCAAGCCTCCTGGATTAGGATAAATTTTTATTTGTAACGCGAACATAAATGATACATCACGTATTTTTATGTAAGTGGTAAAATTTTTTAATTTTAAGTTATTAATCTTTTAACAAACATAACTCACCATTTATATAAGGACATGTGATGTACCACTTTGTGTGACAGTTACACAGAAAAATCTTTCCTGGATTAGGAGTGGGAATTAATTACTTTGCAACTCTAATTTAAATGTTAATGGGGTTTGGTGAGCTAATTAATTCAATCCAGTTTAGGACTGGCGATCAAATAGGAAATTAATTTTGCACAATAATTGAATGTATAGTGAAGATGTCACATGCATAATTATGCTTTTTTAGGTCTATGGTTTGCACGTATTTCTTTGCTTTAGGGCAGGTGAAAATTTCAATTATGCTTTTTAAAAATGAGAGAACAAATAAAAATTGACATAACCACCCGTTTAACGTTTTAAATTCTTACATCATTAACCTCTTAATGAGTCTAACCGTCCAATTAATTTTTATTTTTTTAGTTGTACTTAGCTGATCCATTTTTATGCTTACACAAATATTATATCGATGACGTGTAGATTAAGAGATGGTGTATGGGCAAAATATAAGAACTTTTAAGAAGATTCATTTCAACCTTCAAAATACGGGGACGGAGGGAGGGAGCACCATATAGTGGCATCAATTTGCTTCTACGTGTGTAAGCAACAAAAATGGACCACCCAATGTCATGTAAAAAGATTATTGTTAGTTTGATAATTTAAAGAGCAAATGATGATATTACAATCTTTAACTTTCAAGTTGCATTTATTTTGCCTTAAACAACAAAGGTACTAATTATATTCTACCATTGAATTATCCACTCGAATTTATTTTGCCCAAACAAAAAAATAATATAATGGTAGTATGCATCAACATAGAATCTTTTTTATTTTTGGTTGGCAAAAATTTTCTTATCTAGATATACTTTTCAAATTTGTATTTCTTGATAAATAAAAGGATTGAATTGAAGTGTGAAAAGAAGTTGGTTCTGCAAGCAAGTTCTAATTTTACTTCTTTTCTATTTTAAATGATTCTTTTGGTCAACTATCATAAAGTTAGTTAATTAATTAAAAAATTGTCATTAATTTAGGTTATACATGAAGGAGCATTACCATAAAATCTAAAATCAAGAGGTCGACATGCCATCGTAATCCATCATAATCTTTCAAGGAATAGTTGGTCCACATCAATATGTTGTCAATACCACATGCGTTCAAAAACTAAGGGAACATAAATCTTGTATCATTGTGCTATTCAAGTTAGAACCCAAGTTGGAAGTGACACATGAACCTTTACCTAGAGGACATAAGATAAGATACGCATACCGGACAACTTGTGGTCCGACAGATTAATGAACTTTATTCTGTCACAGACTTAAGGTGCACTACATACGTGTTAATAACACGGTCTTATTCCTCGTACTCAAATTGCAAATCAATTGAACATGTTGAGTACATGTATATAATCTAAACAGGGCCGGATCTGGCTTACTAGGAGCTGTAGGGCAAAAACTAAATTAGGCCTTGGCACTGTAAAATTTTCATAATACCCAAATGTGATGCAGTCATCATTTTCAATGTGTCAGTTCTTTTTGTTTCAACTCTCACCTTCACATCCGAAGATGGTTATTTTTCGACTGCCAAGATCGGTGGGCAATCATGCAATAGACGGAAAGGAGGCTATTATCATCTAATAGGATTGGATTATTGATTACTCAGTGCTCCATAAGAAGTAGAACCCGAGAGCACTTGACACAAATTACTAGTTCTAACACTAAACTGCTCATACATTAATGTTAATCATCTTTCTTTTTTATTTGTAGGAACTCTATCTAAGATAAATTTTTGTGAGAACCAAAAGCTTTATCTATCTTCTAAGTATTACCTTAACCAAATTAAGCATTTAAACAATGAAGTATGCAAAGCACGTGCAAGTGACTTATAACTTAGTTGGTTAAAAGTATTTGTCCATCTACTCGAGGTTTTGTCTATCATTGATTAAAAAAAATGGTATGCTAAGTACGTAAATTATTAAGTAATGAGCGTCCTACTTAAGCCATTCCAAATTGCATGGCAATCAACAATGAAGGAGATTATTTGGCTTCTTGTTGAAGGTATTCATAATTTCTTGTCCGCTTTTAAGTTAATAAATTCATAATATCTAATAAGAAGAAAGATTGAACTTAAGCAACAATAGCGCACTTAAACAAACTAATAAGCAATTATGCTTATGAATTTTAATCGAGTTTGATTCTCACCAATCTTTTCTTCTTTTACAATTAACAATTCAATCCACTATTGGTTGTAGCAGAAAAATAATCATCCAATATACAACTATTTGCTCATTAATCCATAAAGTATTCCCACTGAAAGCTTTAGTGTACATATAGGACCCCAAAATGACATCTCTAAATAATAATTTTATTTGGTATCTAGTCATCTTTAAATGTCATATAGTTTTTTCTATTAATAAATTTCAGCAACCCGAGTAGAAGAAACGAAATCATTCTGATCTTGCGATGACGCAACATAGATGCATCCAGGACTAACATGTGCAACCATTCACAACTAATATATATTAAGCCCCTCAAGGAAGAGATTCCCGTTAAAAAATGAGAATTAGTTATGGGATCCGTTCCGCATTGAGTTTTAACGATCTGAATTGTTTATTTTGTAAGTTTAGATTCATGGATCATCTTTGTAAAAATTCAATTCAATACGAAACTATTTGTCTATTTAATTAACACAAAAATTTCAATGTTTGTCTTAGCACAAAGTGTTCGTCAAAATTTTGAACTCAATTAGATGCTTCAAATATTTTTAATTTGACTACTATTTTGCAATGATGATCTATGAAGTACAACTTGAAAAATAGACTTTTTTTTTCCTTCAATGCCCAATAGAAGACTTGTATTATCCACTTCCTCAATTTCTTTAAAAAAATTAAACTACAAAAAGAAATTCGAAATATATATATCCCCAATGATTATTGGCGTGTTTAGAATATTTTTCTATCCCCTCTCTCCATGGAAAATTAGATAATCATATCCTACTGATAAATCAAACTCAATTAGCCGATGTGCAGCTGTTATTTCCGATGCTCGTGTGATGACATTCACATTTATCATCTAAAACATGTGATGGTACGTAGTTTGAGAAAAACAGAGCTACAACGGAAGAAGGTCTCTAACCAAGAAAGAAAAACAAGACAATTGAAGAACAACATTTAACCTCCAGGTGACTCTGGTCATAGTCACCTGTTTTTGTTTGTTTTCTTTGTTAATTATTTAGCCATCTCATGCTTGAAAACTCTCATTCCAACACTTGCTCTATAACAAACTCACTAACCAACCTATTGAGCTTGACCAATCCAAATCACTTATAAGCTAACCACTCACAAGTTAACGCCTGTCATTAGATTTCTTCCTTTAGAAAGGGAAGATAGCTACTACTTTCTCTAGGTTTACAAATTTGGTTAAAGTCAAAAAATAGATACTCAAGGCTTAATTAGCTAATATAGAAGTCAAATGCTTTTCTTTGACTAAACCTTTGCAACCCGCCTCTGCACTAATTTTTTTTCCTTCAGATTTTCCATATGGATAATGTTTGTTCTTGATAACATTACATTTTAGAGAAAATATATTAAACACAATAGTTTAGAAAGAAAATTCAACTGACTCTAACAAGGTTAGGATTTCACAACCAAGAATCAATTAATACATGATAAGTTAATGGATTAATTTTTTCTTTTTTTTGTTTCATTAGCGCTCTTTAAGGCATGATAAGTTAGTTATGGTAATTTCATTTTGTTCTCTAAACAAAAAACGTCCATCAAAGTTTCAAAAGAAGGCCAAAAAATGACGTGGAACGATGACCTCTGCAAAAACGCGTAAAGGCTGATGTGTACTTGGGAGACGCCAAAGTGGACCGTCTCTATTAATTGGATGCCCAAAACCATGCAAATCTCAAGCATTTGGGTTTCGGATTTGGAGTCAAAGACTTTTGTTTTGGTTTTGGATAAGGATAAGGATAAAAACAAACAAATACATGACATTATTCACGAGACAATCATCAAAGTTAAGAAGGCTTTGTACGGATGCATGTCGGCAGCCCAAAGTTTGGGAAATATATATGCATGACTTTCTTACTTTCACAAAGCTAATTAAAAGCGGTGCAAGTTGAACAAAAAAGTGGATAGACGTAATAGGAGTCTTCAGGTAGAACGGTAGAACAAATATTAGGCAGTTTTTTGTGGTGTTACAACTGCCGCTCGTGTTCCTAATCAATTACAGCAAGCCTGGAATTATGACTTTGTTATTCAAAAGCAACAATATTCTTCCATGTCACTGCACCATCCGCTTCAAGTTACCATCGTCTTTTCAATTTTTTCCTATAAAAGTGTCAGCATTATACAACAAACAGCTTTATTGGTTATAATTATCTTGTAGAAATTAGTTGAAATTCAGTTGGTGATGTCGTTATACTCAATGATACATATATCTCACAAATGTGGACTCATCAGGGTATTAAGTTTTCTTTTATTTTTTTTCAAACGACAGAAGATTTAAAGCAGATTCAAAATAGTACATCGTGAGCTAAGACTTTAATGAAATCCTAACCCATCAGAAGAAAACTCAACTGAAAAAAAAAAAAAAATTCTAAAAAGATTGACACAAACAGCAGTAATGATAATGTGATATAAAAAATAACAATTGAACACAAGC